AGAACCTAAATAATGAAGGAGGAAGTCTGTTGTTCCCTTTCAGGAATAGCTTCCCCACTCTTTGAAGATGCTCAGGATCTCCCTGTTGTTTGAGTTAGTGGGCCCTATGTACTCAGGCCAGAAACCAGTTTGATTCCCCACGTAACTTAATCCTCAATGGTACATGGGTATTTTAGGGGAGGTTGATAAATCTTATAGATGTGGCAAATACGATTGTCTTCCTGGCTCAAGGGCTGAAGGCCCGAGGGCCTAAATGGGTGTGGGGTGTCTGGGTCACAAGCCCTGGCCTGGAACTGCCTCTGCTGTCCTTGTAGATCTCCCAGCAAAGTCCAAGTTTACACAGATGGCGTTTCCCCACAGACCTCTGGGAACTGTAGTCAGTACCTGCAGTGGTAGCAGATGGGAAGGCTGCAGTGGTAGCAGACGGGAAGACTGTAGTGGTAGCAGACAGGAAGGCTGTAGTGGTAGCAGACAGCTAAACCATATTTTTAAAATAAAATTTCTCTTTTCTCTAGGATAACCCAGTTTGAATAAACATTACTTGGCCTTGCTAACATAGCGTGTTACGTGATGAGCTCTAACTGAAAGTTTACCAGCTCAATTCCACCAATTATGCATCATAGAGCTGGACAAGGGCTAAGAATGACAAAAGGAGAATTGATGCCGTTCTGTTGTGGTGGCTGGAGAAGAGTGTTGAACATATCACTGACCACCAAGAGAACAAACAGGTCTGTCATGGAGAGGCAAAACCAAGTTGTTTCTTAGAGACAAGAATGGTGACGCTCTGGTTGAGCATATTTTGAGCATGCTTCCAGGAAGGACCAGGATTTCGAGAAGGATATCATGTTGAGAAGGATGGAGGGGCTTCACAAGAGGAAGACCCTATAGGACATGATACAGTAATGGGCAGGTGTGTCAGAGACAGTGAGATTGACTTTTGGCTGGACAGGCTTTAGAGCTATTTTGCATAGAGTCACTATGAAGTGCAAACAGCTCAAGGGCACATAACAACAACAGCAACATCAACAAAGACCTATGCATTGTAAAATAAAAAAAAAAATGAAGTCAATTATGTTTCTAGGCTTTATAAGAAGGTTGATTAGAAAAAGGAAACACATGAAATGCTCATAAAAATAAAACACAACACTTAAAGATGTATATGTATGTGGATCCAAAGAGGAGGAGGGGAAGAACAGAGGGTGAGAATGAGCAGGGGGATAATCATAGGGTCACACAATTTGATGGGTAGAGAGAGAGGTGGGTAAAGGAAATGGGAAAGCAAAGAGGGTTGGTGTGTGGGAATTAGTGAGACTGGCTCAGGACAGAGTAGGGTTCAGAGCAGCTGTACATAGGGTCACTCAACAACATAACAACAGCATAACAACAACATACATGGTCATTCCAGATTCCAATTATTAATAGATATTTGCAACTGCTCCTCCTCATTTTGAATTCTGACAGCTTATTTTGAACTCTTCCAGGTTATGTAAGCAACATGTAAGCCACTACTGAAAGACAAACTAAAAGATAAGTAGAAATTTAGCCTAAGGAAACCTTGTATGCTTAGCTTCCTTGAGTTTTAAGATTGACTTTTTAGAAACATTTCATTAGGACTGTTTTTGGCATTAACTTTAAGTTCAAACCCCTAAATTTTTTGTTAGTTGTGGAATACTTAACTATTTATGTTACCCAAAGACTCCAATATTGCATCTACATATTCAAATTCACCAGTATTACAACTTCAGCGATTGTATTAAATTCTTGGATTGATTGTAACTTTATTCACAATTATTTAAATATATCAACGACCTTCCGAAATAGCTTGCTTCTGGAAACCCTATGAACTCGGAGAAATGGAGAAAGATCATATGGTCGCTATGAGTTGCCTATGACACGATGACATTTAAAAACAAACAACAATGACCTAAGAAATTGCACTGTTAATCCAAAGTTATGTTGTTTGAATCATCAGCTACCCCATGAAAGAAAGATGGGCAATCTCCTCATGTCTGATTTACTACTCTTGTGAACCTGCTGGAGGGTTAGCTATAGGTTCATTCTGATTCGATGGTTGACAAAATAATTTTGTTGCCACAAATGGTTCTGTGGATTAATACGTAAAATAATTAACTTCTTTTCATTCGTCTTTGCTCAAAGCTTAGTGTAAAATAGATTTCACTTTTTAATCAAATACGGAGTGTTTGATATTTGGTAGATATACAAACATAGCAAACTCATAAAAAGAACATATATGACTCACCCCTAGTTCATGGCTTATCAAACCCTGTACTCAACTGAAAATAGTAATGTGAAAGGAAAAACACTTGTAACTTAATTCTTTTAAATTTAACCAAAAAACACATGCTGTTGAGTTTTATTTTTTTAAAAAATATAATTTCCTTTTTATCACTCAGTAATTCATTTTTTATGTTCTTTGAACATTGGAAAGAATCTATTTTATGAAAAAGAAACAAAAATGAAATGACACTGAATAATGTCAGAAATGAATTCTTTAGTAAAAAGCTCAGAAAAAACACAACAAAACCCAACCAAAAAACCCAGAAGATTCAACAGTCAGGCATAATTCTATGAAAAAGAGATAAACACATGCAGGGCTGAAGACACACCCTAGAGTTTATTAATGTAATTATGTTTTTGAACTTTAAGATAAAGCATTTGACATTGGTGAACATTTACTGAATACCTGTAAAGATAAACTTTTTTTTTTAATGGCCTGGCGATGCCGGATCTGCTCAGCTCTTACCTACTTGTACCTGGTAGCGGAACCGACCCAGGAAGCCGTGGCACGTGAACCACCGGCTCCGCTCTTACCTACTTACCTGGTACCGGAACCGAACTAGAAAGCCATGGCACGTGAGCCACCAGGCTCCGCTCTTACCGACTTCTACCTTGTACCGGTAACGGACCCGAACCAGAAAGCCGTGGCACGTGAGCCTCCGTGCTCTACCGGTGAGCTACATATCCAGGCCCAATAAACTTTTTTTTTCAATGAAGAATTACTTGCCACTCAATACTTGATATTTGTCATCATTTTTTTTTCTTGCAGTTCATATATATTTTCTGTTCTTTCAACCCTAGTTTTATTCTTCTCACCTAAACATCCTCTTTTTACTAATGTCCTTTTGAAGTCTGGAAGATCACTTTCTTCTTTTCTTTTGCTATGTGGTTAAAGATGATTGAAGAATTGATGACTTTGAGTTGTGGTGCTGGAGACAAGTATTAAACATTCTGTGGACCGCCAGGAGAACAAATACGTCTGCCTTTGAGAGGGTGAAACCAAGTTTCTCCTTGAGGCTACGATTTTGAATCTCTGTCTCACATACTTTGAGCCCCTGGCCAGGAGCGACCAGTCCTTGGAGAAAGGACATCATGCTTGGAAGGGTGGATGGAAAGCACAAGAGAGGTAGAATTCAGATGAAATGGTTTGACACCATAACTGGGGGCAATAGGGATGGATGTCTCAGAGTCAGTGAGACTGGTTCAGGATAGGGCAGAGTTCAGAGCTATTATTGTACATAGGGTTGCTATTGGTTGCAGGTGATTCCATTGCACATAACAACAGCAGCAACAACAACACAATAATGTATCATTAAAATCAAACAATGAAAAAAAGTATTTGTATGAATAAATAAATGACTGTGCAGAAAACACACACACACACACACACACACACAACCAAATCCCAACACAATCTCACCAAGGTGAGTCTGATTCACAGTGAGTCTGATTCAGTGAGACCCTTAATTCATTTTCCAAGGCTATAAACCTCAAGAAGAGGAGATTGGCTTTCTTCTGGCTGAGCGCCAGGGACACTATAAAACACTTGTCATTCTTTTCCTTTACTCAGCATTCGTTGTAGCCTAACCTAAATATGCACTTCTCTTTTTAAAATGATCTTCACTTTCTGGGTTCCTTATGTCTACACTGTCCACCATTGTTTTGATCTGTCATCTTGCTCACAATAAATACACATGTGTTCTCAGATGGATATTAATTTAGCACTTTTAAAATCTACCTTTTCTAAACAACTCTTAGGGAATGGCATTCAAATTTATATCTGCTTCTTAAATCTCCTGAAATATAGATTGCATTTTTGAAAGCCTATTCGACATTTCCATGTGCATAAATCTCAAAAGGTTCAAAATAAGTCACTCTATTCCTCTTGCACATACAGCTTTCTACAGTTATTTCTTCCATTTAATAACAAGAGGTTTATATATACTTATATATGAGAACCTTTCAAAGCAAGGAGATTATGTCTACTTGATTTCCAGTTGATATCCTGTTTCAGAGTGGGACCTAAAAGTTAAAAAAAGAATATATATCTAAAAGTTAAAAAAAGAATATATATCTAAAAGTTAAAAAAAAGAATATATATCTAAAAGTTAAAAAAAGAATATATATCTAAAAGTTAAAAAAAAGAATATATATCTAAAAGTTAAAGAATATATATATA